TCAGGAGAGGTCTGCCGCGCCATGTGGTCACCTCTGGGGCAGGCGGGAATTGAACTCATGTGGAAGTGGCTTAAGCTTCTCAGTGCAGTGCTTTAACCCGCTGCCCCATCAGGGAGGGCCCGATAAATTTTAGTTTTAATGTTAAACTTGGATACATTGTTTAGACAATCATGAAAACTTTGTAAACCTCTCATTCCTTATTTGAAACACAGGGAAACTGCCTAAGAATTATGACCCCAAAGTGACTCCAGATCCAGAAAGATGGCTACCAATGCGAGAACGTTCTTACTACCGAGGAAGAAAGAAGGGTAAAAAGAAGGATCAGATTGGAAAAGGAACCCAGGGAGCAACTGCAGGAGCTTCATCTGAACTGTAAGTCAGTGCTCCCGAATGCAGTCACTGAGAGCATAGTATGATTCTTCCGAGATTTATCAGGATCATGAATCAGAATTTTTTTAAAATATGTTTTAAGCAGGAGAAATATAGTCAGTAAATAACTTGCAGTGTACTTATAAAGGAACGAGAATGTACTTCTGGTTTCACTAGTAAAAATACTAGCATTGGGGCCCTCCAAGGTGGTGCAGTGGGTTGGAGCACTGTACTATAAAGTTAAGCCAAGCTATAGCCCCTTAAGTGTGAGCTTAATTCCTGCCCCAGAAATGATCCGCATGGCACAGCAGACCTCTCCTGTCTCTCCCACTGCTCCCCTCAGCAGTGTACTTTTACATCTGCCTGTTCTGCTCCTCACTTTGTCTCTGGTGAATCCTCACCACCCCTGCACCTTGGTTTGTACCCCATTGCTGTATGCATAAATAAAATCTTTTTTAAAAAAAATTAGCGTTGTAGGATTGTATTATAAATAGTATGATTCCAGTAACTTCAAAAGGTAACTATACTGAGTCATTCAAATAATACCTAGATAAACAGAAATAATCAGTAACTAGAAAGAAGTATTAAAAATGTTGCTAAATTATTTCTACATGGTAGTATTATAAGTTATTTTAAGTAACTTAAGTGTTAGAGTTATATTAAGTATAAAAGTTAGCATGTACCATGGGTTACTCTTTCTTTATTTATAAATTAGTAAATTTCTTATTCAAAAGAAGTGAATGAGGAGGGGAAACCCACCTAAGAGATATTATGAGAGATTATTAGGACTAGAAAGTGAAATACAGACTGTTACAGTTTTGGTGAATATATGAGTGACCAACACCTTCCTGATCTGATGCCCCAGGGATGCCAGTAAGACTGTGAGCAGCCCACCCACCTCTCCGAGACCTGGCAGCGCGGCAACAGCGTCGGCATCCACGAGTAATATTATACCCCCCAGACACCAGAAGCCTGCGGGGGCTCCAGCAGCAAAGAAGAAACAGCAACAAAAAAAGAAGAAAGGTGGAAAAGGAGGCTGGTGAATAGAACATTCTTGTGGCAGGCTATTTTTAAATGAGTCTCAATGACACTAGGAACATAATAAAGGTAACAGCAAGAAGCACAGAGCTGCTCCCTCTCTCATCCCCACATTTTCATAAAAATTATTTTCTTGTACATCAAAACAGGAAAACAAATCCCTCAAACTCTGTCTAGTCAGATGTACTCGTACAACCTAGCTTTGCACAGATGAAGCAGACTCAGAATAATTGGCATTTCCCACCTTGCTATCTGTTGTGTCCTTTATATTTGTGTGCTGATCTGCTGGATTGGAGTTTTGTTTTTTGTTTTTTTCCCAGTTTCACAAACAAGACATGTTATCTAAGGTTTCCTCGGATTTAAGGAGAAGCTACTTCTGTTTCAAATATATTCTAAAAACACTTGTTCCTGTCAAGTCCCACTTTAAATTTTGTCTTAGGAGGCCTTGGGAAACAAAGGTGAAATCTTCTGAGCATTCCAAATATCTGCTTAGAAATATCATGTGATTCAAAAAGGGACCTTATTAATACACTGCTTTTCTTCACTTTATTACAGGAAAACTAAAGGATTACTTTTGGCCATAAATTCTGTCATAGATATGTACTTTATCACTATACATATATAAATTAGGACTCCTTTGTGGCCCCTTGTCAGTTTCAGATCATGAAAACATGCTATTTAAGAACCGTAAAGAATTCAAGCAGAAAATATAAATGTGGCAAGTAGTAGAATCTTAAGACCTGGCGTTTGGGGGGGGGGGGGCAAATGGATTTGTTCTGTCTCATTCAGAAAGATGTAAAGGCCCCTATTGAGAGCATAAACATTGACTTCCTTTGTAGAGAGGAAGTCAATCCAGTATTAAAGCTTAACTATTTGACCCAATAAATAAACTCTGAAACAAGAATATGACCATTACCCTTCTCCAGTAATGAAGTATTGTACAGTCAGTCTGTGGTGTTAGTGCTGCTCGGGCCTTGTCTTTACGTTCAGGCCACTTTCCTGTTGAACAGTCATAAGACAGACACACTGGGGTTGCCCAGTTAACTATTACTAGTTGCCCTTGTGAGTACTCCTTTTATGCTGCCCATGATAGCATTGAATTTAGACGTAAGAGTATTTCCTTGTGATATTACTCTGTCCTTGTTAATAAAGTGCTGCTGTTTGATCAACATACTGAGATTTCAAGAGTTCTTAAAAGGCTTTTCTCCTTTACAGTAGCAAGAAATGTGGTGCTGCCTTTCTGTCTAGCATAATCTGGTGGCATTGAAACAAAAGACCTTCATAAAATAAGAATGACTTATGGTGTAATACTTTTTGAGCTCTCAAAAACAGTCTTTTGATAAGAATGACATATTTATTCCTCCTGATTATATACTCAATCACAGGCATAATTGTTAGTAAATGTTATTGTGGAGTCATTAGATTTCTGTGGTGAAGGATAATCATTTTTTTAAAGATAACTAAGCTACAGAATTGTGAAAATTACCATCTTTGAAGATTTTGACCCAAGGCAAAACAATGACACAGTTTTCTATTTCGTCATTGTAACTGCCAATCATTGTTACTACCAGTCATTGCTAAGCAACAGAAACCTCAATTCAAATAACTGTAAAATGAAGTTGTAACCATTACATTAACTTTTTAGTAGTTATTTCTTCTTGGGATGGGGTCTTTAACAGTGACATACATATTTTGTATATATTTATGTATGTGATACATTTATAAAAAACCCAGTTGGATACATCCATTCACTCTGGCACATTTTAAAATAAAATATTCTGTCAGTGAGTGTGAAGTAAGGTGTTTTGGTGTTGGCATTTTATGGAGAACTTCCTGGTTACCTGTCTATCCAAGAATTGTTTATGCTGAGTTTCTAAAATTGTCTCCTGACTCCCTCCAAAGCCACAGAATTAATGGAAAAGAACCCAGTTTTTTTGTCACTGAAAATTCATCACATTGATGTGTGTATATGAACACATTGATAGAAGAGTTGAAGAGCAAGCTTTTTTAAGTTATTAAGCAGTATTTTCAACTTGGAAACCACTAGCCTTAAGCTGTTGCATCACCCAAGTCTTCTAGACCTTCCATTCGTTATGTCTTACAAGTTTGTTTTGGACTTGGGTTTATGAAGGAAAGTCAGTTTATTGCACTGAGATAACTTTGTTAGATTGTGAAATATACTGGAGCACAGTTTAACAGAATAATAAAAAGAATCAGCCATACACTTTCCAACCAGTTGAAGAAACCTATGGTTCCTTTGCAACGCTGGGAGGGTGGCTAGTTAAACTAATTACTGGGTCTTTGGGGGTAACTTGTATTGGACCGGTATTAACTTGTAGCCCAGATGCTGCCTGGTGCTTTCAGGGGAATTTTTTTTAAGAGAAATACAACCGGAATATAAAATTAAGGAACCGTTTATGTTTATCGTGTTTGTTTTTCCCCTGAAGTATTTTGGATCGTTGCTTCCACACACACCTGTGGAGTTTAGTCGGGATGAAGGTTCGCAGATACGTTTGTGACTTCACTTTCTAGGCTGGCGATTGCAGCATGGAGGCAGCGGCGTCTGGCACCTTAAGCGTCCTCCGGGTCGGAGACACGTGGTTGGGCGGGCTCAGGGGTGCTGCGGAGGAGGTCTCACGCCGTGGTTTGGGCCGCGTGGAAGGCCTTTCTAGGGCAGACCGCCGGCCAGAGAAGAACGCGCCGCTGTGCGTCGTCCGGAGCAGGTGGCACTGGGGACCTTCTTACTACAGAGACGCTTCGTTCCACAGGCTCAGGCTTTCCTAGCTCCAGCGACCCAACCGCTTGGTCCCTCTTCCTCTAGCACCCCCGACTTCCCCGACTCGACTCCCTGCGGTCGCCAGATAGCGAATCCGCGCAGTCCAGGTCGAGCTGCCAGGAGGATGCCAGGCGGTGGAGGGCGCGGCGCGTGGCTGGCGACGGGCGCTGTGACCGTATGTGTGGTCTACGCTGCGTGGACCTACGTCTCAGGCCTGCGCACCCCGGAGGTGCCACACCTGCCTAGACCCCGGGCTGCGGCACCAGCGCGCGGGCGCGCCGGCGAAGGGGAGAAAGCGGGGGCCGGGGAGATGGACAAGGGAAAGGTGAAAAAGGAGAAGGGAAAGGAACCGGAGAAAGTTCGGGAAAGGGGGAAGGATCCGGAGAAAGTGCGGGAAAAGGCAAAGGAAGAGAAGAGGAAGGTAGTGGAGAAGGGAAAGGAACCGGAAAAAGTGTGGGGAAAGGGAAAGGAAGAGAACGGGAAGGAGATAGAAAAGGAGAAACTGAAGGTAAAGGAAAGAGAGACAGGAAAAGAGGAAAAAAGTAAGAGGAAAGAGGATAGAGAGGAAAAGAGCAAAGAGCGAGAGGCAGAAAAAGAGAAGGAACAATTTAAGAGGAAAGAAGAGGAAAAGGACAAGCACATCTTGACAAAGCCCCTACTGGAGCCGCCGGTAAGAGCCCGGGCCCGGACCTCCGCGGCCGTTGTGGGCGTTCAGACCACCGCGCCCGGCCGGCTCTGGTACATCCGAGGCCGGAAGGAACCCGGTCGCGTTTTCGGGTTTTTCAGCTGTGGAAGGAAGGGGGCGTGCCGAGCTCCTTTCCCTGACCCCTCCTACTCCCCCTTAACATCCCTGACTGTGCGGCCCCCTCACATCAGATCTAGTGTGGAGGGAGAAGAGCGCCAAGTTGGCCTTCACCCGGTTGTGCGGGCACCTTCTGACCCGACCCGTGTCCAGAGCTCAGCACTCGCTCACACCCCAGTGACGGCGCAGAAACCTACCCCAGCCTTCCTGCCCTCAGCTCGCATCCGAGTCCTTTCAGTTTCACATGTTCTTGGTGCAAGGGGTGGGGTTCCAGAAAGGTGGGGGTTGGGGGGGGCCAAGTCGGGACTCTAAACCTTTTCTGGGAGCGCTGTGGTTACCACCTCCATTGTTTGCCAGCTACCTAGCAGCCAGCAGGACCGGTCACATTTCTAAGTCTCAAACACCAAACATTGCAGTTACAAAAAGCCAAGTAGTATAATTCCATTAATACGAGATTTTTAATCAAATGATAGAGGCAGATCGTTGCCAGGAGCAGAGGGAAGGGGATATAGGGATTGGAGTCTTATGAATACAGCCTTCCCCCTCCAAAAGATGAAACTTCTTGTCGAGATGCGATGGTGCTGCTGGTCACACAACATAGGAATGTACTTCATACCGTTGGACTATACACTCAAAACGGTCAAGATGATAAATGTTGTGTATTTACCATAATTTTAAAACCGAGGGGGTAGGAATTCAGACATTGTTTGGATCGACTTAATTAAGGCTCCGTGTTCCTGGAATTTTGGACTCAGAATTGCTTTCTGGTTCTAACAATTAGAATTAAGAGATCTGATCTCCGGTAAAATACAGACTGACACGTGTATGTTAAAGGAATACTTTTGACTAAGAACAGTTGATCAGAATCATGCTTCATGCCTGAGTTTTTGATTTACAATCATCTTAAGAGATGATAAACATATTTTAGACAAGTATGTAAGAATGCATGTATTTTAGATGAAAAGTAAGGAAATGTAACAAATTAGTAACTGCAGGATTTCTAGATTGAATGGACTTTTAAGGGCAGCAACATGGTTTGAAAGGGACCTATTTTTTTGCTTAAAATATATATAGACTACACGATGCCATTACTTTCAATATACTAGGAAAGAGAAAATGCTGCCAGCCAGAATATGACATGTAAATAAATATGGGCTATAAAATATGCATTTCAGAGATGTTAAACTATGAAAAAATGCATGTTGTAATTGATGAACTAGGTATCCCCAATAGGGACACTGGCCGAGGTAATGAGGGGTACACAACACCCTGCCACCATTTCTTGGTGCCCCCTTGCTTTAAAATAAGCAATTTAAAACCAATGAATGAAATCTATATCCAGTCCCCCCTTCCTTTCATGCACACTCTTAGGATGACATGAAATTAAGGTGCAGGTGAGAGGGAATGGAGACCAGAGATGGGGCTGGAGATAGGAAATTTCTGTGGGAACACGTTTGCTTCAAGAGCCATCAGGAATTCAATCCAAAACAAATGCACTTTTTCTCATTGTTTTTTACCAGACAGTCTGCATAAATCATGTGTCTACACAAGTCTGTGTATTTGAGCAAAACTTACAACTTCTTACTTTTACAAAAACCTTTAAAAAAAATAAATGAAAGATGGGAAAGACATTCTAATTCTACTTAAGATCGCCTTTTTTGGGGTGTGATTTAAACAGAAATGTGTAAGATTATTGTCATTTCTAAACCCTTGCCATTAAAAAAAGCGACTAATGTTTTGGATGTACAAGAAACTTCTTAGGAGGCTATTTGGGAAATAAAATTGATACCTGTGGGCACTCTGGTTGCATTTTTGCTCACTGATTACTGATTTCATTCAAAGTTTGCACCCTAGAAACGTCCTTCTGAGCATGGGGCACTTTTTCTTTGTCTTCATACTAACCTGCTCTTGTCCCGCAATCATTTGTCCTAACCATGTCTAAGACTGATTTATTCATGGAATACTTCCTTTTGAAGTTTACATCTAATCTAATGGATTTTAATATCAAGCTTAAAAATAAATGCTCTTCTGTCATTGGAAATGGTTTAAGTTTTTATAATCAAACTTTTAAAAATTCATTTTATCATTATATTTACATTTAAAAATATAACAGAGACCCTCCCTGGTGGCGCAGCGGGTTAAAGCACAGCACTAAGAAGCTAAAGTCACTTGCGCATGAGTTAGATCCCTGTCTGCCCTGGAGGAGATCCACGTGGTGTGGCAGACCTCTCCTGACCCCGCCCACTGCTCCCCTCAGCAGTGTACTTCCTCCATCTGCCTGTTCTGTTCCCTGCTCTGTCTCTGGTGAATCCTCTCACCCTCCGTATCTCTATCTCTGGACTGCAGCCCAGTTCTATATGAATAAATAAATCTTAAAAATATATATATATGTGTATATATGTGTGTGTGTGTGTGTATATATATATATATATATATATATATAAAACAGAGGAGGCTCTGCCTGGTGGCACAACTGGTTAAAGCACTACAAGCTAGCCACAGCCGCTTCAGTGCAAGTTCAAGTTTGATCTCCACCCAGGAGGTGATCCACATGGCAGACCTCTCCTAACCACCCCACCCTGCTCCCCTCAGCAGTGTACTTCATCAGTTTGCCTGTTCTGCTCCCCACTCTGTCTCTGGTGAATCCTCCCTTTATCCCTGCACATCTGGTCTGCACCCCATTTCTGTATAAATAAATAAATCTTTTTTAAAAATAAAATAAAAAATATCAGAGGAAACTTATCCTAAAATCTTTTAGTCAAACGGTCCAATTGGGAAGACAAGACAGATTAATATGAGATCTTAGAAGTTTAACTGCTTAGTAATATGGTCTTTACCTGAATCATAAAGGTCCTAAGACCCCAAACAACAAATGGAATTCTGGTGCAATCCCCAATGTACATGAACCCGGGAAGCAAAATGAAATTTGAAAATTGTTGCTATGGCCTGCTGCACCTTCCATAAATCCTACTATATGTCAGTGTAAAATATATATCCCATAGACTGGTCAGGAGTGGGGCAGGAGGATGTGTGAGTAACTTCACATAATTAGTGATCAATTATAAACAAACCAATTGGTACAGTTTGCTCCAGACCTGTTCAATGTTTGATGAAGTGTGTAGTATGGTTTAAAACTCTGCAGATGCTCCTGGCAGACACACCGCCAGGAGTCAGGAAAGCAAGGCCTGCATAGCTAAGGCTTAATGATCTGTCTTTTATTTCATAGGACAAAGACAAGCAGATCCTAGTGTTGGGTCTTGATGGAGCAGGAAAGACTAGTGTCCTCCACTCACTCGCCTTGAACAGAGTCCAGCACAGCATGGCACCCACCCAAGGTTTCAATGAAGTGTGCATCCACACTGAAGACAGCCAGATGGAGTTCTTGGAGAGTAAGCCCTCTTCATTAGTTACGGGGTAGTTGAATTTTGCTTTGCCAGGCATAATTTTAGCAGCAGACAATGTTAAGTATCCTAGGCCAGACATCATGTTAACAGTGCTTGGGCAGCTTTTCCTAGTCTGAGAGCAGAACACATGTGGAGTTTAATACTAGTGGACACTGTAAGGGGAAATCACTTTCAGCTCTTTTTTTTTTTTTCCTTTTTTTTGCAGTAGTGGTGATTAAAGGAAGGTGAGAGGAAAGCTTTGGCATGCCCTCTTCCATCAGCTTCACTCCTTTCATTCTATCTCAAATAGTCAGGCAATTAAAGCAAAAGTGTACGCTTCCTTCTCTGTAACAATTGTAGTCAAGTCCAGCCTCTCCTTGTAACCAAGTGATGGCCAAGTAGCCCTTCCTCCTTAACAATTCTGGAGTCAATCCTCTCTAAACACTGCTTTCCCCAGAGCTGTGTATACTTATACTCTCCTTGCATGACCTCATCAATCCTCTGGGCATTAAATGCCATCTTTATCCTGATGGCTGTCAGATCTATCTATCCAACCCAAACATCTAAACGTCACCTGACATTTATACCTGCATTTATACCTGTCAAATCAGTCTGTCAAACCTCACATGATCCAAAGTGCTTGGTTTATCTCCACATCTGTTCCTTTCCCTATAATACATTGGTCAGTAAGTGGCTCCTTACTCATTAACTCATTTAAGCTAGAAAACATGGAATCCCCCTAGTTTTCTTTTTCTGTATCCCCATCTCGAGTATCCAAGGCTCTGAATTGTTCTACATCTAAAACATCTCACAGAATCATTGGTGATATCCTTTCCTACTACCCCCTGTAAGTCAGACCATCCATTACCTCTTAGATGACTGAACTTTCATTTTTTTCTTTCATCCAGCTGTGAAAAAAATGTTAGTATAAATATTCCTAACTTAAAACTCAGTAGAACTCTCATACTTGAAATAAAATGTGAAGTCTTTAAAAGGTTCTATTGACAGTCTTTTTCCACTATCTCTTTTTTAACCCTCTCATTTTTCTCCAGCCTCTCTGCTCTCATTTCTCTTTTCAAAAGGTCTTGGGGATGCTTCCTATCAGAAATATATTCTGCTGCTCTTTCCTAACCCTTCACTTGATTACTCCCAAACCTCAAGTATTAGATTCAATGGCCCCATCAAATCATTTTTTTCTTAGTATATTCCTCTATTTTCTGTTTCCTTCCTCCATAAGGTTTTTTTAAACATTCAGTATTTTTTTTTTTCATTTATGATCCATCTTCCCAACCAGACATAAAGTTTCACAGGGGCAATTACCATATTTATATTCTTTAATTCAGTATGCATACTCAATCCAACATTGAGTAGATGGCAGATGGAAAGAAAATCTTCTAGGCCACCTGCCCCAATCTATCCTCTTCCCCAAAGAAGAGAAAAATAAGGACAACATATTCCAACTGGAGTGGAAGTTATAAAGACAAGCAAGAAGAAAAATATTACCTTGATTCAGATATATGACATTAAAATTGAGAACATCTACTAACAAAAAGGTGCCACAGCATGAGAAAAATTACATGCAACACATATAGTCAAATATGCAGAGTATCTAGAATACAAAAAGAACGTCTATAAATAAATAAAACAACATAAAAACTTGGGCAGGCATGAATTACATATCACATAAAATGAACAAATTAGTATTAAACATGAAAGCATGCTCATTGTTATCACTAAGCAGAAAAATTCAGACAAGAGTCATGGTGAGTTTTTGTTTTTTTTTAACACTCAGATTAGTAAAAAATAAGAACCCTGATTTTTTTTTTTTAGTAAAGAAAATGGTAGCATTTAATTTTTATAGGCTTGCATATCCACCAGGAGACAAGTGTTTAGAACATAATTGTTTCAAGTAGCAAGGAATGGATTGTACAAAATAGGCATTAGGCCAGATTTAAACTGTGAGCCAACCCCTATCCTAAAAAATTAAAACTAAAGTCACTGTGTATAAACTATTGTCATTAATCAAAAAGCTGCTTCTGAGAAAAAAATCAGCAGAATGAAATAATCCAAAAGCACCTTTTTTCTGAGACAAGTTATTCTGAATCATATTCTTGGTGTAAAATAAGAGGAGAAATTTGTTCTGGGGTCTTGACAAGGGGGAAAAAAATTGTACCAGTGAGACGAGCTTCACTAAATTCAATCCACTGAAAATTTTAGAAAGAGTTTTAACCCAGTACCCTGAACTATTTTAGTTGCCTTCTCCCATTTTCTGGGCTCTCACTAGTAGATGTGGCCATAACTGTTGTTTGCTAAGTGTGACAGGGTCAGGAGACATCCACTGTATATTTGGTGTCTTTCTGCTGATCCTTTGTGCTCCAGAACGAATGGGCCATGGGTGGAGGGGAAATATCACCAACAACTGTTTCCCTAGTAACATGACCCTGGTCCTCTAGCACTGTGGTATTTTATCAGAACACCTGTCCGGTATGGAGAAAGTATCTACTCCTGGCTTTCCTGCCTCCTCAGCTGATGCTTCCTGGCTTTGTGTGTCTTTTTTCTCTGTTATTCACTGTAGTTGGTGGTAGTGAACCTTTCCGTCCCTATTGGGAAATGTACCTGTCCAAGGGATTGCTACTGATCTTTGTGGTGGATTCAGCAGATCACAGCAGATTACCTGAAGCCAAAAAACACCTTCATCAACTTATTGGAACAGATCCAATCCTTCCTCTGGTGGTGTTTGCAAACAAACAGGTAGAAATGTGCAAATGTAAATGGTACTCACTGGTTTTATTAAGACTAGCAGTGTCTATTTTTTTCAAAGATTTATTTACTTACGCATAAAGAAATGAGGTACAGGCCAGAGGTGTGGGGGAGTGAAAGGAATCACCAGAGACAGAGTAAAGAGCAGAACAGGAGAACTGACTGAAATACACTGCTGAAGTTGCAGCAGGCAGATCAGGAGAGGTTTTCTGTGCCATGTGGGCCACCTACTTAGTTGGGGATCAAACTCTGTGCCATAGTGGCTTGGTAGTTTCTGAGTGCTGTACTTTTATCCATTGTGCCACTAAGGAGGGCCCTAGCAGTGTCTACTTTAATAACTATTCAACAATATGCCATATAGTAAATTCACTTTATGGTTACTAGATCTACTGGGTTATGAATTCCTTGAGTTGTATAATCCCAAAAATTTGGTCCAAAATAGTTTGTTCAGTAGAAATAATTGTCACCCAAAAAATCCAAATGCCATCATCAGCAGAATATGTTATGGAGAAAAACCAATTAGAATCAAACTTTTGTTGTTAAAGACAAAAGTAATTGTCTATTGAAACTAGCTTTGGGGAAAATAAAAAGGAAATGAAGAATAAAATTAAAAGCAGATACACTGCACTGTTTAGAAAACTGATGAAGGTATTATACTGACGTAACTTCTTTCTAGAAAATACTTTTTTGATGGTGACTCATAGAAAGCTGATATAATCCTGATGACAGTCTTCATATTCAAACAACCACTAGGATTTTAATCATGAAGTCACTTTACTCAGCTGGAGGTGGGGTCATTAAAACCAACAGAAGAGAATAAAAATATTCCAAAGGATCATAAAATAACCCAATTCTTTTCAATTCTTTTTCCATCCCGGGTAAAGGATCTTGAAACCGCCTATCGCATTACAGATATCCACGAAGCTTTGGCATTATCTGAGGTGGGAAATGACAGGCAGATGTTCTTGTTTGGAACCCAAGTGACTGAGAACGGCTCAGAGATCCCCACCACCATGCAAGATGCCAAAGACCTGATTGCACACTTGGCTGCCGATATCCAGCGAGCAGCTCCTCGCGCGCTGTGCGGGCTGGCCAGCTAGGCCCCGCGCCCTGCCTGTGGGGAAGCAGGCTTGGAAACAAAGGTTTCCACTTTCAAATAAAAAATAAGCCATTTTCTATTTTTTCAATGCACCCCATATACACAAAGATAATGTTAACTGATTGAGAGCATCTTTTTATTTAGGTTTTGATCTGTAAAAAAAAAATGATAACATTGGTAAAACAATGCATTTAGAGGTTTTTAAGCACAAAGATAAAGTGAACATTAGCACGCATTCACCCCACTTGTAGTTTTTCGATAACATGGGATTTACATTCAAATATTTTAATAAATGTGTCTTGTCAAGTATAAACCCAGGTGTCTTTCCTCCAGCTGGATCCATTTAACTCGACAGGGAAAGAAAAATTGGATAGGACAGTAAGAAAAGCGAACACTATCAAACTCACCTAGAAATACAAATTAACAGCACTTGGAAAGATTCAGGAAATTCTTTTAGGAGTCTGTTAGACATGGACTATTGTGGGGGTTTGTTTTTTTAAGTTCTATTATACCCTTTCGTGTAGAGGATCATTTCAGCATGCTTCATGCTCTGGCACTCCACAGGGTGCATTTTGTACACACTGAAAGTTTGTGTTGATCCTGTATCCAGCAGGTGCACTGGCACTGTTTTTTCAACGTCACTTCCTCACTTCATGCCCCTGAGAGATGTTTTAGTAATTCTCAGCTTTTAGAACTTTTTCATTATTATTATTATATCTGTGATAGTGACCTATGACCAGTGATTTTTGGTGTTATTACTGTAATTGTTTGGGGTGCCCACAGGAGACAGTGAAATTAATAAATGCTGTGTATGTTCTCATGGCTCCTCTGATCCCCCATTTCCGTTCCTCTCCTCAGGTTTCCTTATGCCCTAAGACCCAACGATATTGAAATTAGGCCAATTCATAATCCTATAGGGGCCTTTTAAATGTTCAGGTGAAAACATTTCTCACTTTATTTTTTATTATTATTTTAAAAAATTTGATTTATCTATGCATACAAGAACTAGGATAGAGGCCAGAGATGTGTGGGTGTGGCAGGCCAACAGGGGAGGCGTGGGGGGGAGGAGGGAGGAAGGGAGAGAATTCACCAGAGACAGAGTGGGGAGCAGAATAGGCAGATTGATTGAAATACACTGCTGAGGGAAGCAGCAGGCAAGACAGGAGCAGTCCTTGTGGGTCACCTCTCTGACCTGTATGGAACACGCAGCAGTGGCTATGGATAGCTTCACAGTGCTGTGCTTTAACCCCCTGCGCCACCAGGGTGGGCCACTCACTCACTTTAAATCAAAAGCTAGAAATGACTAAGCTTAGTGAGGAAGGCATGTTGAAGGTGGAGATAGGCTGAAAGCTAAACCTTATGAGCCAGTTAACCAGGCTGTGTTGCAAAGGAAACGTTCCTGAAGGAGTTACAGTGCTACTCCAGTGAACGCACGAGTGACAAGAAAGGCAAACAACCTTATTGGTGAGATGGAGATAGTTTCAGTGGCCTGGACAGAAGAGCAAACCAGCCACTACAGTCTTTTAAGTCAAAGCCTGATCTAGAGCAAGGCCCTAACTCTCTTCAGTTCTGTGAATGCTGAGAGATGAGGCAGTTTTATGAGAATGGATCACACAGTGATTCAAGATTTCAACCTCTGTTCCAAGGATTTCCATGAATTTGGCCCTGGGCAAATCCCTTAACCATTTTGTGTCCTTCTTTTGTATCACTCTGGAAAAAAAAAAAAATACTCCACCAAATGTAGTCTACTTCCTGCCCCTAAATGTTGCTTCTATGTGCTAGCTCATGTTTTCTAGTGTGGTCAGAGGCATTCATAAGTTCTTGGATGACACTTTCAGAGGTGTGCCAGGAGTTTTCAGATTGGGTAAAATAACCCTTCCTTGTTAAACCTACTGTTTTCACCTTCTCATTTTAGATTCTACATTTTGACAGCTAGCATGTGGTTAGAGTTTTTCCTTCAGTGAACAATGATTAAGTGCCAAATATGGTGGTCATCGCTTGATGCTGGATATAGTTGAAGTCTGGCTTTGAGATACTCTCTGGCTTGAAAGGGACATATACACTGGGGGAGTTCCAAAGGAAATGGCACACAACTAACATGGGATGGAGTGTCAGCAGATAAGCTACCTGGCTGTCTGTCTTCCAGTCAGGCCTCAGGGCAAGGCATGGTTTACCTTGGAAAATTCAGCTCAATCTGGCCTCACTTGCCAACTTTCCAGGAGTAGCGACAGAAGACTTAGCACTCTTCAAGCGGCTTTCTCCTTTTATTTATTTACTCAGTCCATATCTACATGCCAGAAAATTTGTCAGCACTCTTATTTTAAAAATATTGGAAGTTCAACTTCACCTGTGTGACAAAGTCAAAGTAGGGGGCTCACCGCACTGAAAATCTGGTTTATCAAAGGCAATACGGCAGTTTCTCCATCTCTTGATCCTGCAAACTTCTGCTTGGCTTCATTCTCAGGTTGCCTCTACAAGGGACAGCGGTCAACATCAAGCCTCCCAACATTCACGAAGCTCACAACCCCAAACTAAAGTGGACCCTCTGTATTTATGATTGAGGTCTCATTGGTTTACACTGTTGTGTTCTGAAGTATAGGCCCTCACCCCCCACCTTTCAGGTGTAGTTACTGTAATGCACCTGCCTCCAAAGCAGCCAGAATCCACCATCATCACAATCCACTGTGCTTTCTCCCCAGTTTTTCTCACCCTGCCCCTCTGACTCTGGTAGCCTCAGGTCTATAGTTTTTTTGTTTTTTTTTAAAGATTCATACAGAACTGGGGTACAGGCCAGAGAAGCGGAGGGTGAGAGGATTCTGCAGGTCAGGAGAGGTCTGCCATGCCATGTGGTCTCCTCCGGGGCAGACGGGGGATCGAACTCATGCGGAGGTGGCTTAAGCTTCTTAGTGCAGTGCTTTAACCCGCTGCGCCACCAGGGAGGGCCAGGTCTATAGTTTTTAAGTTTGACATTATCTAGACCTTTGTTTGGGATTTCTATATTCCACATATAAGTGACACCATTCGGTACTTTTCTTTCTTCTTAGTGTCGATTCCTCCCACCACATTCATTCCTATGGTGGAACTAAGAGCCAATCTTAGTGATGGAGGGTCCCCGAATATTGTGGATCTCGGCCTCCCCTCCCAGCATGACTAAGAGACAAAAGACCTACGGTGCCAAGGACGCTCGCTCGGAGCCTTCTCCGAGACCAGGCTCTGCGGAGTGGCGGGTTCTCCTAACAGCCTAGAAGCCGGTGTGCTCTACCCCGGGGTCTCCGTGACCGAGAGCTCCCGAGCCGCCCGGCCCGGAACAGGTGGCGAAAGCGACGCTCCCCCGGCCGCGGGGAGCCAGTCCCCTGGGCAACCCGGGAACGTCAGGCTGGGGGTCCCGGCGCCTCGCGCGGCAGCTGCGTGGGTCTGGGTGGTTTGTGTTGGGGCGTGGGTGTATCCCCCGCCCCTCTCCCACCGCGCAGAGAGTGCCAGGTCCCCGCAGCCCGCAGAGAGCGCCCAGTGCGCGGCGGGAGCGTCCAGGCACCCATGGAGAACCAGGAGTTCTCGGTTACACCAGCTATGTCCGAGGAGGGTGACACACCAGCAGATAGAGCCGCTTATCCTAAAAGCGGCCAGAAGTCCCTAGTACGCAGGATCCTCTACGAGCACAAGCTGGAGGAGCCGGAGGAGCTCGGGGAACCCGAGGAGTCAGAGCAGGGAGACGCGTTCCCCGAGTCTGACGCCTTCCCCGAGATCCAGGAGCCCCCCAAGTCCCAGGACTCCTATGAGACCTACCGGCCCCGCGAGGTCCAGGAGTACTATGAGTCCCAAGAGATCTGCACCCCCGAGGACTCCAGCGAACCCTACGACGACGAGGCCGGAAATCGTCGTGCTCCCTTTGAGCTTCTCGCGTCCAGCAAGCCCAGCTATCTCCCTGACCAGCGCTGCAAGCCCCAAAGGCCCCACGCTCGTTCCCGCCGGCCCCACAAGACCCTAGAAGCAGAATTGCTCCCAGGCATCGCTGCGGTGGTCTCCCCATCTCTGATGACTTGCTTTCCGCGGCGGATTCCTCTAGCCTCCTTGAGCGGTAGGTATTGGGGCCCCTCCAAGGCACTGAACTTTCCTGACCCATCTAGAACTGGAGGAGTCCTGCAGGGAAAGGCTTGATGCAAAACCTCACCCATTAAAAATATATCTATTTGCATATTTATGCTTAAGGAACTGGGGTACAGGCTAGAGTTGCAGAGGTGATGAGAGGATCCTCCAGAGATAGAGTGGGGAGCAGAACAGGCCGATCTACTGAAATACACTGCTGAGGGGAGCAGCGGGAGGGGCAGGAGAAGTCTGCCATGCTTGTGGGTCAGCTCCCTGGCCTGGGATAAAACTCGTGCTGCAGTGGCTTCGGAAAGCTTCCTAATGAGGTGTTTTGACCCATTGCGCCACCACAGGAGAGCCCTTTAAAGGAAGCTGCCTTTGTCTTACTTGCTGCTGTGTAGACACCTGTCATTGTACTTCAAGGGACTTTTATGGGAAATTGAGTCTGGTGATGAGAGCAATGGAATCTCCTGTCTGGCTTCTCTCTACCAGATGCCCTCCTGGCCACCCTTGACTAGCCATTGCCACTAGCTGTTGAAACCCTTTGCATTCCTCTGGACTGCCACTTTGATGATTAAGTCTCCAGTTGCCTCTAGTATTTTGTCTTATCTTCATTCTCTTCCTACTCAACTAAAAAAAAAAAGGAGTCCTTGAAGGGAGGGTGGTTTTGTCAGTGTTTGGCACATGGTAGCGCTTCATACTTGCTATTGCCTTGTGAAGACAATGACAGAAGCATGTGTGGAGACGCATTCAGAGCGTGTGCTAACAACTATCGTGCTCTGTCTTCACAAAGTACATAGGTAACAGAGCTGACAGGACTTTTATATAAACCTTTGCTCTGACCACACCAGCTTTTTTATGACCTCACATTGATGACCCGACTCAAAACAGTGCTTTGTCCACATTGGGCTCTTATCCTGTGGCTGACCACTTGATAAACTTCATGCTCTCCTCATCACCTCTTCATCAGCCTCATCATAGAATGGCCTGTCATTTAAGTCATTCTCTTGCAACATCTCCCACCACCCATTGAATTTTTGACTATTCATCAAAAACTCCAATTTTGCTTAAACCCACTCACCTACCTTCTGCCCACATCTGAGCAGCTGGTTCTTTTTGCACAAAATGACCCAATCATATTTTTTATTTCAGTTTCGTAACCACACATCCTAATAAGACATTCAACACTGTCTAGCAAGACCAATTTTTCCCCCATATTAAGTTAATTCTCCCAGTTTCTGAGATGACTAAGTGACTTCTCTGCAGTCCTCCAAACTTCACACCTGAGTCTTCCCGACAGCTGAACACTAGCTCATATTTTACTGAGAAAAGAGAAGCTGTCAGTCATGGACTCCTTATTTTCTTCCCACTGTTCTGTTGCCTTATGCAAATTTGCACTCATGGATTCTGTCTTTTTCATATTTCAGGGAAAATTGTGCCTCTTCTGTGAAAAACAGAATCCTCCACTTGTGCTTTGTACTTCACTATTGTTCTGAAGAACTTTGTTCTTGAAGTTATGTCCTCTCTTCTCCCACAGCAGCTGTTACGCCATTCTAATGAATCAGTCCCATGAGACACATATACTCCAGAATCTTCCATCTTGAAATACCTTTGAGCCCATATCTTCCTCAGATCCCTCATTCTCCAAACAGCCACAATATTTCTTTTTCTTCCACTGAAGCTATGTCTATGAAGTGTTGTCTGTACTCAAAAATAGCTCCATTTTCCCCCTCAACCCACATTGTTAAGCCTTTTTTCCCCTCACTCCACCAAAACTGATCTAGTTTATCGATAGTCTTTCTCTTACCAATTTTGTCATGTCTGGAGATTTCAGTATCCAAGTGGATGAACCACTTGTCTTCTCAGTTCTTTGACCTCACTTGGAATGATCATGTCCTTAACCTCATCTTAGGTACCCACTTCCCTAACCATTGATAATGGTGCTACTCTCAGTTGCTGTAGCATTTATAGACTTTGTAAAGCACTCTAATCTCTAACCACTCACTTCTTGCCAACCCCCTCTTATCAACGCTTCAGCTCCAAAGGGACTTTGCTCATGGATGCTGCTAACTTCATTATGGATGACTGTCTGTGTCCTTCTATCCTTGTCCTAACTCGTTGTGTGGCCCATGAACACCAAAGGAATCGCTCCCTTGAAAATTTTTTTAGTTCTCTTGCCTCTCCCTCCCTCATTCTTGCTTAATTCAAATTCTGTTCTTGCTTGCATTTGAAAAACACAGTAAGAGAAAGGCAACTGTGATGACTGATCTTAAACTTCGAGCAGGTTCTCAAGAGTTGCTTGGCAATCATACCCCAGCCAGTTCTAACATGGACTCTACCAATCTACTAGCAGCTGTACATGTATACAGTAGTTTTCCCCCTGCTAATAATGAACTGTCCTTGTTCCTGTTAGAGGCCTTTCTCTCAACCTGTATGTAGATATCCTCCTTCTAATTTTAAGTTTCTAGCTTATAGAATTAGCTTTCCTCCATGCCTTCCATCATTATACTTCTACTGAATCAGTCTCATTAGCACATGAGCAAGTAACATCTTTTAGCTTTTAAAACAAGACTCCACCCTGATTGTTATCTGTCACTCTGGATACTGCCTTGTATCTTTTCTTTTTAGAGAAAAGTTCCTCAAAATAGTTCTCTTTAAGTGATTGGTTCCACCGTCCTTTCTCCCCAGTCTCTTCAGAATCCACCTCAAAAAGCTTTCCTCTCTTGTGCTTAGCTGAAGTTGCTCTTGTAGGTCACACTCATCAGTCTTTCCAGATTGTGGTTAATTCATCCTTATCTTACTTATTTAACACGTTCACTTTCTCTTTCTTAGAAGTTTTCTTTACTTGACTTCACATGCCGCTGCCTTCCTCCATGGTCATCCGACCTCACTGACTGTTCCTGACTTGGATTCCTTTCCTGGATTCTCTTCACTCAGGTTCTTTTGGAACTTTCCTTGTTCCCTGGGTAATGTCATCAGTTCCATGTCTTTAATTGGATGCTGGTAACTTCCTAGATTAGCTTCAAAATCTCCCTTGAACTCTGGGGTTTGATACCATTGTCTTTTTAATAGCCCTAATTGAATACCTTAGCAGGTATGTAAAACAATGTCCATAAGTGAACCCTTACACCCACACCCAAACTTGCTCTTCCCCCATGTCCACCAATGGCCTCACCATCCTTCTAGGAGTTTAGGGTCAAAAACCTTAGAATTATGCTTGACACCTGTTTTTTCTTTTAGACCCTCCAAACCATAGCAAATCCTGACTCTGAAATACATCAGCATTTCAGATAGCTGTGACCATTTCTTAACAAGTAGGCCTTCATAATCATAGGAGGCCACTGTCATCTCCTATTAGGTCCACTGCAGTAGCTTCCACTTGTCTCTTGCTTCTGCTCATGTTCCAGTCCCCCTCTCTCCCGTTCATTGTTCATGTAGTAGTGACAGGGATCAGAAAGAGTCTCTGCAGGGCTCCTGCTCTCAGCTCTCTAGTGGGGAATCTCATCCTATGTAGTCTGTAACCTAACGTCCTTTGCAGATCTATAAAGCCCTGTATGAACTACCCCTGCCTGCTTCCCCAGCCCCAGGGCCCACCCTCTCCCACCTTCTCTGCTCACCAGCTGCATGGACCTTCTTGTCCCCCCCCACCCCCAAATTCAAGATTATTTCACCTGTATGTTCCTCTGCTAGGACACTCTTCTTTATGACAGTATACCAGTCTGCCAAGAACTCTTTGGCCCCATCATTTCCTTAAGTGTGTATCTATTTGTTTATTATTTACATTCAGCTCTCAGAAGGCAGAAATTTTTTGTCTTTTCCACTGTTTCATCCTCAATGCCTTGAGCAATGCCTGGAACACGTCAAGATTTGCCAGTTATTCTTTGAGGAAAGAGCTTTTCCTTCAGCCCTTGCCACCAGTTCCAATGGTTCCTTTTCTCTGCTAGGATTGTTAAGGAGAGATAATGCCTTCCTGCAGAGCCTTCAGAACCGGCTATGGTACTTTCTGAGTGCCCAGTAGATATTACCAATAGCAGAAGTAACTTTGACCTCTTACCAACATTTAATATAAATGGCCACTCCCATTTTGAAACATTCCTCCTTCTCTTGGCCTCTATGACATCACAGCCTCCCACTTTAATATCTCATTTTCTAAGCCCTCTCTTTTTCCTTACCTCTGAAGAGTTCCAACTGACCCTTTTTCCTTTCATACATTCCCCCCTCCCCAAGTCATCCTCCCTAAAATCATGGTTTTCAATAGCTCTCATACTGCCACCTGCTAACTTTGATTATTCCAGTTCCGCTTGCTCTTGAGTTCCCACACTTATATACATAAGATATCAGTATCACACAGCTTCCTGGAGCTCTCCCTTTGGATCTCTTAGGCGCCTCAAGTGTAGAATACTTAAAACAGAGTTCTTGACTTTTTTCTGTCTTGTTATTCTCGTACTCTTTCAACTAGATCTTTCCAGAAAACGGCATACAGTTGCTCCAGTAAAAAATAAAGAAAAAGATTATTCCTCTGATTCCTCTTTCTTCACTCTCATATCCAATACATTCCATGCAAATTCTGCTCATCTTCTCTTCAGGACATTTTCTGAATTCCTTTGTTTTTACTGCTAATGGTCATCTCAGTTATGGTCACCTGAATTTCTGCATTCATTTCTTGAACAATCTGCCCATTTCTACTACTGTCCCCTGCAATCTTTTTGTTTCTGCAGCCAGCTTGGGTTTTAAAAAGCACATTGGATCACATCCTTCCCTTCACTGTTGCCTTTCCAGTGACTTCCCCCTCCTCTTAAAATAAGTCCAGACTTCTTACAGGTCGTAGCATGCTGTGAGCTCTCTAGCGCCAACCCCTGTTTCTTTCCCTCCAATTCACTCTGACCCAGGCATATTAGCTTCTGTTCCCTAAAAGGCCAACCCCATATTTACCTCTGCTTTGGAATCTGCAAATTTGCCGTTCTCTCTCCCACATGCTCATTGTTTTTCCAGAATCATCTCATGATTAATTCTCCCATGTTTTTAAAAGATGGGAAAGCCTATTGGTTAGCAGGCTTCCCTGCCCTGCTGCCCAAAGTGGCCCCCAGCCCCCAGAATAATTCAAAAATGTTTCTGAAAAGTCTCCAGACTTTGCATAGAAAATAAAGCTTTAAAACTTCCTATCTTCTAAAATTGTCCTCTAGTTTTCCTTATTA